GCATTAGGAGATATACGTAATGTAAATGATGAGTTAATGGGTGCAGCACACCAATATGGCACATGTATACATATGTAACATACCTGCACGTTGTGCACATGTACCCTAGAACTTAAAGTATAATAAAAAATAATGCATTCATTTTACATTTAAGCCACATATAATACAAATGAAACATGTAGTTAATGATGAATTGGAACAAAACATATGAACACTTGATCTTTTAAAGGAAAGAGCAGCTAATGCTGCTCCACCTCAGGCCTACACTCCGAGCTTTAGGGCAGAGGCTGCAGCACACCCAGAAACACCTTTGCATGCTGGGCTGGGGGACATTGTACAGAAGGCCCAGGGACGGTACACCAGAGTGGCACCTTAGGACCTGGAGGAAGAAAACTATTAACGTCCCCATCATACCTAGTGGGGTACTTCATAGGGAACAGACAAGAGTAACTGGGGTTTATTATAGGCCTCAGAAATATTTAAGAATTGGTTAAATCATTTTAGATCTCAGCTGAATAAACTTCTGTTCAGATGGAGAATATTCTTTCAAGAGTACTGAAGTGTAGCCTGGGGGTCTCTTCTCTCCCCAAATCATTATACTTCTCAAAATATGCCCTTAACAAAAGCTGGTCTGCTTCTGTGTGGGAGGGGCCTGCCAAGGGCGTGACCTGTGTTCAGGCTGCTCGTCTGTTTCCAGTTTTGTTACAATGGTAGAACAGACTTCACGATTCACAGCCACCTATAAGTGATGGATTAGTCCATTCTACAGGTGAAGAATCATACGTCACTCACTCAGCCCAAAGAGGGCAGAGCCTGGATTCAAACTCTAAAGTCAGAGCTCGTAACTATTAACAGAATCACCTCTTAATTTGGTGAGTCTCTGCTGTGGTCCACCATATTTCTGGTTTGTGTTCTAGCCTCCTGCCCTTGCACTAGACTATGGGGTCTTTTCTGCTGCTTGATTTCTACCCTTTCGTTGCTGGTTCAGGACCTTCCATATTCTGGAGGACCAAGAGTCTGCACTGGCTGTTGGTCATTTCTTACAGCCTCTCTCCAGCTTCACTTCATCTTCCCAGCACCAATCACATTTCCTTGCTACAACTCATTGCCTCTTGGGTTCCCACCACTCAGATCTGTAGAGGGGGCCATGGGGTTAGAAAGACTTCCTTGTGAATCACCCCTCTTCAGACAGCATCTGAATGGATTCCCTCTACTCCACCCCTGCTACAAAGTCCCTTGAGGCCATCTGAGAAGAACAATGTGATGGGGTGGGGACACTGAGATCCCAAATGCCCTGGTAGTGACATGCCAAGCTGGACACCATCATAGGATGAAGACCACTATCAAAGTTGTGATGTGTGGGTTGACACACTGTCCCCAGTCTTCCTTCAAGCCTCATACTGCCATAAAGTCAGTCATGTTTTCTTTGTGGGGAAGTTGCTGTAAATGACTTAGAAGCTTTGGTGGGATAAACCCAGAGAATTTCAGTCAAGGTAGGTAAAGAAACAGAACTCAGAGTCAAGATTAATTAACAAGTGTAGAATTGATATTCCCAGGTATCTAAAAAGTGGGAACTTTGTAATCAAGCATTCTTGATTACA